TGAAAAGTTTAAATAATTAATTTACTTGTGTTATCGGTTTTGTGGTATAAAGTAATTTTGTTGAGCTTTGATGTCACCTTGTTACTAACGATAAATAGCATGCAACACTTAAATTATATATAACAATAACTTTTAAAAAAGTATTGATACCAAATATGAATTGGGTCGAGTGCTGCTATTTTCATCTGATGTCTTATTTTTCCACCCACTATATAAATTTTTAAAAACACAATCCTATTTTTTCCATTATTCCTAAAATACCCTTTAGTTATTACCTCATTCTCTCTCTCTCTCTCTCATTTTATTATCAATTGCTGCATCTTATTTTCCATCTCTCACGCCCCACCTTAACAATCAACTGCCCAACAGCCCCCACTGCACCCCAGAAACAAGATTTTATTAGCTTTTTAAAATCCTCTTTTGTTGTTCATTTGGATTTTCTTTTTCTTTTTTGGACGAAAATTCATTTTTTGGATCTTTGGCTCTACTTTAGAACAAGAGGAGCATTCTCTATCACTCTCCCAGCATTCATCACCATTACACCCTGACCAAGAACAGAGTCCAAACCATAGACTTGTTGATTCATCCCCAAATTTTCATGGTTTTAATTTATTTAAGAAAAAAAAATAAGAGTCCTAGAAATACCCAATTTCCCAATGATTTAAGTAACCGTAAAGATTTTAGAAATTCTATTATGAAATGGAAAGTTCATATTTAAGCTACTAATACGTTTTAACGTCATGTCCTTAGTTTATACTTTTCATTGCATCAACATGCAAGTTAAAAATTAAGAATATTCAATTTTAAATTTCCATTTAAGAACAAAAAAAGGGTATGCATTTACCTTCGTTGGATCCAGACAATAAATTCAACTAGGAAGGTCCCATTGGGATCTAGATTCTTACTAACATAGTAGTAGTTGGTTATAATAGTAAATGGGACCTAATCTTATTAGCAATATCGGTGAGCAAAAGAATTCATATAGCTTAACAAGATTTCAGTTAACTTGACATAATAGTCAACGGGATCAAGATACTCATAAATAATTGTGATAATGAACATGTAGTGGATTTGATGGTTGATATGGTGAGAGGTGAAACCAAAAAACTAAAACTAGCATGTGATGGTGATGATCATTTTAGGTTAATATTGGTTTTTTAACTTTGATATTTTTGAATAAGTAACTCAATTACATGTTTTGATTACAACGTCCTCATTGGACCACCGTGCACGCAATAGCAACGCCGAAAAGTTCGAGGCCATCACGACTTTTACGCCATTTTCAGCCACTTTCAAGTAAAACAAACTCCTTTCAAACTCTTTTTGTTGATATAAATTTCATCTAAATTGGAGGTCATTTGTGGTGTTGAGTTCGGAACTATTCAAATTCATGTGCTGTCTTGTAGGCCCGGAGGCCTTTCGAGGCCTCTTGACCTCAGAGAAAGCTCTAGAACATCCATTAAACCCATTGGGGGTGTCATTGGACGAATTAGTGTAGGTTTCACACATAGTTAGGGTTTCGGGAAGTAGGTTTTTATTTCAACGCGTCGTTATGCGTCCGATCAAATCTAATACCAGGGCCCCGCATACACCCACAACGAACCCGTTGAGGATATTGAGCTAGCTTTGGACTATTGTGAGTGGGGTTTGTTTTTAAAACGCTTTCAACTGTCTCAAGCCACGTTGAGGCATGTATTTCCACTATCTTCCAATCACCTTATGCTGTCGTAGGATTTCTATTTCTTCATGTTCTAAACTTCTCTTAAGTTTTGAAACTTTGAAATTAAGTACACTATTGCTCTGATATGCCCATTTCTAGATTGTAGTGACTTGTGTAAAGCGCATGAGACCTTATTGGACTATTGGCCTATATGTTGGATGATTTTTTTTTTTTGGTTGTTGTTGTCAAAGGATATGTTGGATGATTAAGGTATTGGATATTGATTCATTAATGATTTGGGAACTCTATATGTATTTTTCTTACATGTGGAAGTTTGGTGATAGTTAATTGCGGAGGAAGAGTTTGATATTTGGGGTAGGCCACAAGCTTAAAACAATGGGATTTTTTTGTGCAATCTATACTATACTCTTTATACAGTTAAAGAGGTGAGAAGATGGTGGGGGGGAGGGGGCCAGGCCATCTCAGGCCTATGAATAGCTCTGCCCATGCTGATAGTGTCAATTACAAGGGAGACTATCGAATTTTTGATACAAGTCTTATCGTCTTATTTTCCCATTTGGGTGTCAAACATGCTCAAGACTTTCTTTCAAACTCCAAAGGAGAATCCGGGGTGGGTCCCAATAGAAACCAAATAAAACCATAATTTCCATAAAAGATTAATCACCTATCTCACACATGATCACTTCTTGAAGGGTATTTTGGTAATCATGACAAGCTCCCTTGCTTTTCTTCTTCCTCTCACTCCATTATCTATCACCTCTCTCTCTCTCTCTCTCTCTCTCTCTCTCTCTCTCTTCATGTTTGGTCATTAAAATCATACAGGCCCCTTTGGTTCACAGAATGAATTATTTAAGAATGAACTTCCCATGTCTATTCCCATGGGATGAGAATAAAAAATTATCACACTTGTTTGGTTTGTACAGTAATAGGAATTAAACTTTGTTCACTTTTCTAATAATACCCTTAGAGGAGTGTATTCAATTAAGAGTTAAAAAGAGTTAAAAAGTTTGAGTGCATTCAATTCAGATTTTGATTGACATTAAAAAAAAAATATCGAAATCTAGGTGTATTCAATTATGACTTTTTAAAAGTCAAACAAAATTTAGGTGTATTCAAAAAGTAATTTATTTTGAAGGAATTAATAAGTTGTCCGATTTCGTTAGAAATTAAAGTGGTAAGTATAAATACAAAAGGCCCTGACAAATCTTATGTCAACCCTAGAAATTTTGAACGTGCTCTACGCTTTCCAGTCCTTGAACGTGTGTGCTTGTCAAGTGGAGATAAAAAATCTCTTCTCTTTCTCTACGCTTCATATATGTATGATCTTTCATCGTGTGTTTGAATAGTTGTTGTTGAACATGACCATATATCGATGAACAGTAGCATACATGTATATATATCGATGTACATTACAATATGAATAGTTGCTGCTTGAGTGTTGCCATCATCATATATAGATGAACATCAACATATTTGTTGCTGTAAATATTTGCTGTTGTACATCAAATGTTTAATTTTCTACGCTTTTTCAACTTTCCCTTTTTTTTTTTGGTTGCTGTTATTATTATTATTTTATTTTATTCTAGTTGCTGTTGATTTTTTTGGTTTCTATACATCATATCATATATATGATAGGCTTCTTCATCGATCTATGGTCATCCTTTTTTTTTTTAATTCTGAGATTTCCTTCTTTATCAATGTACAATATCTGTATATATCTAGTCCATGCCAAAACAAAAAGGAAAAAATTATCTTCACATATATATTTTTTCTTATGAACTAATTAGAATTGTAATAAACTCTTTTAAAATCTATGATAAAACTCTAACAAACGACATTAAAATCAATTTAGGAATTCAATCAAACTCTATGTGAAGTTTATAGAAATCAATTGAAATATATTGAACTCTATAAACTTTATAACTCCATCTAACTCTTTTAAAATCTTAATTGAATACACCCCCTTAGTTTAGTCATAATGGTTTTCAATACTGTCATAGGAAATTCAAATTTCATTTTCCCCTTGACATTGGAAGTCCATACATGTCAGGTATTAGATTCCAAAGAATGTATTTACTATTATCGCTTGCATAAAAAAAAAAAAAAAAAAAAAAAGAGAGAGAATAACAATCCTAAATGAAGTATCCTTGAAAATATGATCAGGTGCCTTGCACGTGATAATTTTAGTATTAGGGGATGTTTACACATGTCAGAGTTCATAAGGCATAGGGAGAAAGTTTTCCCATGTCAAAGTTTAGAGGGCATTACAAAAAGTTTTCCCTAGAAACAAAATCTCAACACCTCTTTTACACACAAAAAAAAAAAAAAAAAAAAAGAAGAAAAAGAATGAAAAAGAAAAAATAACCTTGAAAATTCATTAGATTGATAATACCGATTAAAAAAAAATGAAGACACTAATATGTTTGCAGTCAACATGAATGATAGATATACCGTCCATGTTCCATGATGAGCTCATAATGGACGACCCAAAACTGATGAACATATATGGGCCCCAAATTGCCATAGACATTCTGCATTGCAAATTGATGGACTTAAAATGATACTTTTAAAAATGTTGGGGAATATTCATTGTAAAACCACTGTGAAAATTATAGGTTAGAGAAATAGGTGGGTGAAGTAGTTGGACATAAGTTAACTTCACAGCCTTTTGTCTGATTTTCTTATTTTCTACTTCAAATTTGTTTTAATTGTACAGAATGTTGACACCATCTTTGTAAGTCTACTTTTTATTTTTATATAAATGATAGTGTAAACTATTATAAATTAATCTAATTTATGCCGAGAGGAAGTCTAACTTGAGTGCAAGGGCGCGATTTCACCCTAGCCAACTAGCCTAACTCACAATTAACATCATCTTTGTAATTCTACTTTTTATTTGTACTTTTATACAAACGATAGTCTAAACTACTTAAAATTAATCTAATCTACACCTAGGAGAGTCAAACTTGATTGCAAGGTAGCGATTTCACCGTGGCCAACTGGCCCAACTTACATACACCTTTGTATGTCTGCTTTGTTTCATCAAAACAAAAAAAAATAAACTTATGAGTTTGTCATGACAATAACACCATAAGCCAAGTTTGGCCACCGCTCTCTTCA